CAAACTCCATAAACACCGCCTTGCCCGACACGGGGCTGTTGAGACTTTCTGGCATGGTGGTCATGGTCATCTCTTCTCGCGGGGTCTGGGTGTGGGTCTTTCTCTCCTCTGCTTCCCTTTTGGGGGTCTCTATGTTTCTCAGGACAGGAAGGAACCCAATTTAAGCGGAACAGGGGTTTTCACTTTCCATTCATAAGAAAATGGAGTTTGTCTCTTTGAAAAGTCTAAGCATGATGCTGCCGAGCTCCCCAAACTCGGTTCAAAGCTTTGACTCAGCCAAGGTCATAAATATTCATGAGCTGGTGGAGCTGATTGGTCGGCTCTCTTGCATAATCACCGGGGATTGGTCCGAGAAGCTCCGGCTTGGCTGGACTAGAGCGGGCGACGCGGCCCGGCCTGGGGAGAGTCGGGTCCACACGTCCCGGCCCGGGCTCCTCTGCAACAGAGCGCGCGGAGCGTGAAGCACAAAGGGCTGCGGCGTCCGCGCTGGGACTTTGGAGGCCCGGGACTCTAGCCTCCCGCCTCCCTCGCGCGCTTCCCGCCCCAGAAACCAACCAGCGGCTCCCTGCCGTCGCCCTCCCCCTTGCTGTCCCCACCCTTCGCCCGCCCCCAACTCCTGGGACCCCGGACCACTTCTTCTTGCGGTCACCCAGTCCGGTGCAGAGCACCGCTCCAGTCTGGCAGCGGTCTCTCTGGATCGCGGGGTCGCGCACTGGGAGACTACCCAGGTAGCCAGCAGCCAGCGGTTCTCGCGAGCATCCTAGACCTAGCTCAGCGCGCTCCAGGCCGCACCTCCCAGGCCGGGGTCCTCTCAGCCACATCCCGGGGATTGGGGTTTGGGGGCTCTCCGGCCCAACTCACTCACTCGGCCGCCGCCCCGCCGCTGCCACCGCTCCCAGGGGCTTGCTCGCATCTCTCCAGGCCCACCTGGCCACTCCAGCTCGAGGCTGCACGGGTCTGATCAAAGCAGTGCGCGTGGAGAGCCAGGAACCCGCGCTTCTCCTCCCAGGAAAGGCGGCCGCACCGCCTTCCCCCTTTCCCTCCCAATCTTCCTGCCTCCCCCTCCCCTCCCCACTCCCCCAGAGCCATGTGCCCGGGGCTCACTCGCCCCGAGGGCGCGGCGCAGCATGGAGTCCTAGGACCTGCGGGTGCCAGGCGGATGGAGCGTCGAACGCTCTCCAGGTGGTCATATTCCAACCTCCTGGGGTCTGGCCAGACTTCTTGGGGTTTGGGAGTCCGGGGGGCGGGCAGAGAAACCCTCAGCAAATCCAGATCAGTGGTAGGCTCGAATATTTGTGTATAGACATGCCCCTCTTTGTCGCCAAGTCTCTTCCTCACCTCCAGTGGTCAAAGCTGGCGCCTCCAGGCCGGGTGGGGGGGCGGGGGGGCGTCGAGGGGCGCTGGAGCAAGCAAAAGCTGCCAAGGCGCGGTCTACCTCCGTGTGGAAAAGTGTACAAAAGGCCCTCTCGCCCCCACCCACCACTACTACTACACAGCCACCCGGCGCAGTGCGGCGCGGCGGCGCAAACTACGCTGCTTGCTAGGGACTGTTGGTTCCCAATCCCTCCAGCCCCACGATGAATCCCAAATTACTTTGTTAGGTAATTAGAAAGTGTTGATAATTATTTCTTTCATAATTTAGCGGTGTGACGGGGGACGGGGAAATGATCTTGTGAAAGTTCACACGTGCACACGTATTAGTTACTGATTCATTTGATTAAATGGTAGTCTCAAGTGCTCAGATCCGCAGCTGAAGGCGCCCCATTAGCATAACACTGATGTTTAATTTTCATACGCATAATTAGCCATATATTTAACACTAATAGCAACATGCAGTCTTTCAGCGTTAAACAGCCCGGGATTTGATCTGGCCTGAGCTGAACCTTCGCCGAGGCACCTTCCCCTATCTAGAGTGCGCAGTGATCACAGGACAGACCTCTGTAATCAAGCACATTTTGGCAGAGGGAACACCAATAAAAATGAACATTCAAAACAAATTACATCGGTGATGTCGTTACAAATATGAGTACAGGGGAGTCTCTCTCTCTCTCTCTCTCTCTCTCTCTCTCTCTCTCTCTCTCAAATCTCAAATCTTCAGCAGCGGCTCTTGCCTTTGGGAATTCCTCTTCGGTTTCAAGGCATGAAGCTGAGGGGGCAGAAATATTTCATGCAGCGGGGTAGCTGGAGCAAAAGAGGAGGGGGGGCTCTAACAGTCCAAATTCTGTAAACCAATAAAGGGTTTGCCAACGCCTAAAAGATTTTTTTTTTCCTTAATCACCGAACCACACGGTGAGGCTCTGTAGCAACAACCAACTAATGACTCCACCACAACTCCCGAGCCATTCGGCTGGTCCTGATTTTTCTGTCGTACTCGTGATTTTAATTGCTCCTCCTTTAGCGCCTGTTTTGGGGTGTGAAGTGCGGTCTGTGCGCCCAATGCAGCCTCTTGGATGCTGTCTGAACCTGAGGTCTCTTCGCCTTGCGGGCCTTGCCCACGTAAGTGATCATTGCGGTGTGTGCTGGGGTCGAGGTTGGGGCTGGGGACAACTGGACTGGTGTCTCTTGGAATTTAGTGCAAGGCCTGAGGACATCCGATGGTCGGACTGCCTAGGGCCTGTTTATCCCAGAGACTTGCGGGGATGAGGAACCAGAGAGCTATCACCAAGGGCTACTGGTGCTCTGTCCTTCCACTTAGTGGAGCAGCAGACCAGGCTGGCTTCTGGGAACCGACTGGCTCCGTAGGGTTCAGAGACTGGCATAATTTAGAACTGAATTGTAAGGGAGCACACTCCAGAATTATTTCCTAATCCCAGGAAGCAAGCACATCAAGGGGGAAACTGAGCCAGGCCTCTGGAATAGTGTACACGCCTCACCTAGCTTCACAAACTGAGATCTTATCTCTACTTTGTGAGCCCAGAATGCATTCCTCTCTCTGACTGTCTCAACTCCAAGGCAGCACCTGTTCTAAAATGCTTAGACCATTTCTAGCCGGAGCATGAAAGGAGATTAGAATTTTGCATTGGTCCTGAAGGTTCCAGATAGGGAGCAGAACTCAATAGTCACCTCAGCACCCATCAGCTCAATGGTAGCCAGTTTACTCCTCCTGGCTGGAGTTCCCACCAGACTCAGCCAGGGTTAGGTGTCAGGTCAATTCAGCTGGCCAAATGATGAGGAAGTAGACAAGAGGAGGCTCTGGGGAAAACCAAAACAACAAACCAAAACAAACAAACAAACAAAAAAAGAAAAACAAACAAACAAAAAATAACCCCAACCTACTTCCTAATCTCAACTTCCTAATCTCAATTTACACAAAATTCTTTTAAGTTTGTCTCCTACAGAGATGCTGAGTTTAGCAGTGCAGGCTAGATTACTAAATCAGATTATATACCTTTCCCATAAATACCTCCACCTGCAATAATTGTCCCAGTGGTTGGTGAGATCCTGTGGTCCTAATAAAACTATCCTTAGGGGGACCTGGAGTAAACTGATCTGCAGATAAAGACAGGACATGCTAATCTGATTGCTCTAGGGAAGGAGAAAGCCAGTCTCTGGCAAATAGTTCCCAAAGCCAGCTGGGCCCTGCAACTCTCCTGGGAAGAGGAATTGCTCCAGGCCCACAGCTTCAGACTCTGACCCTCCAGAGCACCTCCAAAATTTGTCAGTTGACCTTATAAATCCTGTTCCTCCTTGCTCTCACACAAACTAGATTTATAACCACCCCCACAAACAACTGCAATCTTGAGGTGTAGATAAACCGACCTGGGGACTTAGGGACCATGGAGAGATTCCCAAGTTCAGAGAAGAGCTGGGATTTATCATTCATGCTTGCCTTCAGTATTCCCTCTCCTTTCCATGGCTCTCGGTGTCTGAAAGTCAAGCTAACTCCCTGTGCATCCAATCCTGGCAAATATGAGATATGTCCTTGGCTCCCTGACAACCCACACGCTCTGTTCAGGCTATGGCCATTTTGCTATCCACAAGCACACAAACTAGAGTTAGCAGATGGTCTGGACCTCTCTAGACATGCTTTTCCTAACATGCCCAGAGGGGACTAGCTTCCTGTGAAGCTCAGCCTGGCCCACCCTGGATCCCTGAGAACAAGGGAAAGCAGAGTGCTCTGGGCAGGAATGAATTTCTACTGCTAAAGCAGGTAGGTGCTTCAGGCTACCCATCCATAGTTAAAGCCAGATCAGGCCAGATAGGGCCTTGCCTCAAAAGTGTCTGATATGTCCTCTCTCAGAGATCCTGTGCAGTCTCAGGGATATCTGTTTGGATAGCCTAGGAACAGGGAAGTGCCTGTCCCAGACCAGCAGCCAGGGGAGGACAGTTTAAGGACTAGTTAGGCTCTAAACTCAAGAGCCACACATCTAAAGTTTGGGCTGCAACTCAAACTTTTAGCACAACAAATGATCTAGTGGGGGGTGGTCTCCAGCTGGGCGGGGTCTAAGTAGGGCATAGTTGCTGATGAAGACTCACAGGGTCTGCAAGGTCTTGTCTGGACAGCTAACATCTTCAGAAAGGCTAAACTACAGTCCACAGTCAAGAAAACATTTGTAGGCAATGCTTCATGGCCAAACCTTGATGAAGGGGAAATCAGTTGGAAGCAGGTACTGCCTCTGCAAGTGCCCTCAGGCTCAGCCAGTTTAATATCCACAAGAGGAAAAAGCAGATTAGAACAATTTTTTTTTTCAGTGAACAGGTTGTTTTTCTTTCTGTGTGCATGTTAAAAGTTTGGAGATTCCAAAACGATTGATTCACCTGCCTCCTCCCCTGTGTAACTGTCATATGTAAAGAATGAACACAATGGGTTTAAGAGGGTTTTTTGTTTGTTTTTGTTTGTTTTGTTTTTTAACTTGGGTAGAATCTGAAGTGGATTTCCGGGAAATTAGAATTAGAATCACTGAAAGGGCAAAGCACCTGCCCAGGATAGTGGTTCTCCAGGGACCGCGCAGGTCACAGACCTGAGCCCCCAAAGCCCTGTCCTCGCTGTATTTTTCTCTGAGACATTATAGACTCCTGTGAGGCCCGTGGGTGGTTCCTCAGTCCTCAAAGGGCTCCTTAAGAAAGCAGACACTGGGTCTCGGTGGCCTTGCTGGTAGTCTCAGGCTTCCTGAGGCAGTTTGGTCAGGATCTCCACGCCTCTCGAAGTGATGAGGACTGTGTGTTCGAACTGCGCAGACCTGAAACACACCGGCAGCGGCAGCGGCAGTAAGTATGCTGTGTGCTGCGCTGGCAACTCCAGGCACCGGTGCCGCCTCCCTTCCCCAGAAAGTCACAAGTAACAGGGCAAGCACCTTTGGTTGTCTAGTGAGACCACAGTCCACTCGTCCTCCATGACTTTAAATTCTGGGGATCCCTCAGTGATGATTGGCTCTGTCGGAGAGAAATATTTACTATAGTAGATATTGTTTCAGTATATAATGAGACAGGGGGGGAGAGAGATGGAGAGATAATAAGGAGGCCCTCCCTCCCCTAAGTGTTTCACCCACAGTTCCTGTTGTCATCTTGCAAGGGCTGATAATTGATGTTGCTTACATAGTACACTACAAACTAAACAGTAGGAAGAGGAAATGCAACAGCATTTAAAAATGTATGACGTTGCCTGGTTCATAATTTTTTTAGAGAAAGAAGGGCATTTTAATCAAGCCTTAATTAGGACCCTGTGGATAATAACCACCCAAACACCAGTCCCTCTTATAAATACCAGTCAGTTTTTTAAAATATTTGAATTTTTAAAACACGCTCAAAATGTTCATTAATCAGCAAATAACAATTTTCTTATTTTACTCTAATTGCTTCTCCATTAAGTCCTACAGTCAGAACTAGGAGGCCTTGGTGGCCCTAGGTGATTGGAATTTGGTGGTGACACCAATCATGCCATCAGCCAGGAATGGGCCACCACAGAGCACATGCCACTTGCTGACAGAGAGCAAGGGACTTAATCGTCTCTAGTTACTGGGTGTTAATGAAAAAACAAAACAAAACAAAAAAAAAAAAAAAAAAAAAAAAAAACAGCACATTATGCCGGTAACAGAATTAGAGGTTGGATGGCTGCAGTCTCCTAAATGTGTCAGTAAGTATCTGATTTAGGAAGACGGGGCTAGAGGATATTATTTAATCACATTTACTATGCATCCAAATTATTTCATTATGCTGATTAGCTTCATTAGTCCTTTGCAGGACTTCAAGTCCAGGGACCCCAGCTCTCCAAAGAGGAGTCCAGCATTTACCTATGGTGAAAGCCATGCCCTCCTCCATTGGCAGGTCATTGTCATTTGCTGCAAAATAAACACAAGGAGGCATGAGAAAAGGAACCATGGAGAGAAAGGAATGTGTGTGTGTGGGGGGGGCGCATTGGGCTGCTTGTGTGTGTGTGGGGGGGGGGAGCGCATTGGGCTGCTTCAGCTTATGGAAAGGGCAGAGGGTTCTGGGCTGCTTCAGCTTATGGAAAGGGCAGAGGGTTCTGGGCTGCTTCAGCTTATGGAAAGGGCAGAGGGTTCTGGATAAGCCCACAGGGTTAAACACAGGGCTTGCAGGTGGTAGGGGAGTCTTACTCTTTGTGGATTCTGTGTTCTCAGACCCCACCCAGTCTTTAGTAGTTTGGCAAGGCCTGGCAAGGGCAGCTAAGGTGTTCAGATACCAGTACAATTCCATCTCTGCTGTTTCCCAGTGCCACCTCATGCTAGGTCTCCCGGCCTCCCTAAGGCCAAAATGAGTCTTGGGGAAAGATGCCAAAGGACAGCACCTGGCATGTAGGATGGAACAGGAGAAAGGGGCTCCATCCTGGAACAATTGCATGCACTGGGAGCAGGGTCTTTCCACACTGACATGGACCTCTTCTGAGCTGCCTCAGGTGGGGCTCTTTGGCTTAAAGGGACACTGCTCTGCTGGGTCTCCATGGATGCTCTAGGGAGGTTTACAGTTAGTTCTTCCAGGGACTTGTCCTATCTCAAGCACACAGGGCCATACCCAGGACTAACTTTCTCTTAGCCCTTGTTCAAATGTGCACCCCCTCAGGACTCCTCCACGAAGCTGTTTTCTACCTTAACCCAGGTCCTCCCACCCTTCCTGGTGGCTGCTGCCTTCTCTCTATAGGGTGCACACCCAGACAAGGAAAAACTGGATTCTGGGGAAGGAACACAAGGGTGGGCATAATCCAGAAAACACTAAAGAGTACATGCTGCTAAATACATCAGCTGTCAACGCTGTGTAGGATGTAATGAAGTTTAACCACAACAGTCAGCGGTTAGAAAAGGGGGTAGAGAAGAAAAACAGAAAACAGTCGTATGTGCATGCCGCTGGGACAGCCGTGCAATGGGGTTTTGTTTGCAGTAACTTTTCCTAGACGAACATCCCTCAGGCCTGCCAGCCATGCATCCTTCAGGAAAAGACCAAAACCAAAATAAACCTCATTTGGGAAATGTGCTGACCTATGACCCAACAGCACAGTAACATCCTGGTTAAAATTAAGTAGATAACCTCACGCTCCCATACAGTGGGGTGGGGTGGTCGGAAAAGAACTGATACCATTCAATAAGTAGCTTGCAAAATAACTCTTACCATGATGCCAAATTTCTGGATGTCCATGAAAGTATGATCCTATCCCATGTCCCACAAAATGTGGACAGACTTGCAAACCGTTCTGTTGAGTTATGCGGCTTTAAAGGGACCAAAAGACATCTAATTTAATCAAATGTTTTAATGCATATTAAGATTAAAAATAAAATCACTTAAAACAGTCTCTGAGGGAAAAAAAATCAGTTCTGTGGATGGGGGAGGGAAAGATTTAATTAATAAAAAAATTCTACTTCAAGTCTGATGATAGCACTGATATTTCCTTTATTCTGAAATATTTTTAGTTGACTGATACTTGTCAACAACTCCTTTTGGATATATGAAGAAAGGAGGTATACATACGATACTTGTTTGCATTATTCACCTTAGTACATTTAATAAAGGTTATTTTTAGGCAAGAAGTAATCATGCATACACACAAATGTAGATTGATATACATAAGTTATACGTGCACGCGCGTGCACACACATACACACACACACACACACACACACACACACACCTGTAACAAGGTCACAAAAAACTTACCTGGTTTTGATGGATTTATGAACAGTTACTACTAACTCAGCCATTAAACAAAGAAAATTAAAATCTCCAAGTATGACTTTATACTTTTATGATTTCCTGTACTCTGATCTAATTAAAGGGTTAGACATTTTGTAAACAGATACAAAAGATTGTCTGCCTTGTCCATTTTCTTTCAAAATTGGTGATCATTTTAGGGTTCCACTTAATAAGATATTATTACCAAAGTTCATAAAAAATTTTTTATCACATGATATTCAAAAGGAGTTAACATTGATCCTAATAATACATGCAGACATTTTGGGTTTTTATCTATCCCTTATCAATGGAACATAGCACATAAGAATCCAAACCTGAAAGCTTTACCTGCAAGAATGTAAAGGTTTGTTATTGAGGCCAGGTGAATATGGTTATTTTGGGGATGCCACCAATGATATATATTTTCATGTGGGCAAAGGGCATAATGCTTCCAACATTACCCATAGCAATGGGCAAATATTTATGTAACCACGACTACAATTCCTAACCAAGTCAAATGTTTTTTAGCTCTCAAACTCATTTTTTTCCTTTTTCTTTTTGGTGGTAGTGGGGAGGGGGTTGTTTTTTGAGACAAGGTTTCTCTGTGTAGCCCTGGCTCCTGGAACTCCATCTCTAAATCAGGCTAGCCTGGAACTCCCAGAGATCTGCCTGTCTCTGCCTCCTGAGTGCAGGGATTATGGGCGTGGCCTACCACACCCAGCCAGTTTCAAACTCATTGGCTAGAAGATTCCAGTTTAGTTTCACACACACCTTTTTGGCTAACATCTTTATAAGCCATCATATCTACACACAATCCCCCACTCTTCTTTTTTGAACAAGGTCTCAGTTTGTGTGCTAGGATGACTTTGAACTCACCACTCTCCTACCTATGTATCTCAAGTGCTGGGACTACAGGCATGTGCCACCACACTTAGTTTAATTTTTAAGAACATGGAAACACACTCCCAGACTTGTGAGGATCTTCACTTGGACAAGGATGTCTCTGTAACCAGCAGAGTGGCAACAGCATCTCATGGAAATGTAATTTTAGTGTGACCAATAGGGCAGAAATGGATAAGCTATGCAAGAGTTGAAGGGAGGAATAAGCCAAAATCTTCATCTCCAAAGCTACGCTTTGGAATCCAGGCTGTACTGTAGGTCCTTGTGCATTAGCGTGAGGTATAACATCTTTCCCAAGGGGTTTCTCCTACGTCCACACAATTTCTAAATAAAACTGAGGTTGGAGCATAATAGAGGGTACAGCCTAGGTTATTAGTTTGTTTACATAAGAACGGGTTCTCCCAACAGCTGTACGTTGTCAGTTCAGTCCCAACCACCATCAATAACTTGAAAAGCTTTCAGTATAAAGCATTCTAGTATTGTCTTTAAAAGAATACTAGTTTTGGTTTTTTTTTTTTTTTTTCCCCTTCAATAATCCAACAATGGGAAGGCTTCACAGCTACATCTTAAATGTGTGTTACAATGGATGGTAATCTTCATTTTAATTTCCAATGAGAGGAGAAGAAAGGACACTCTAAAAACCCCTCGGGGTCCCCCCCCCTTCATACTTCTCATTCCTCTTCATAAAAGAGGCTGTCCGACTATGAGGTAACTGAAGTTATTTGGTGCCTTCTCCTGCCACAGTTTGCTCTCTGGGTCCTGATGGAACTCCCGGCTACAGTATCCCAGAATCTGTATCACATATGCAGAGGCTAGAGGACTTCACAGATGGGGGAAGGGGAAAGGACTGGATAAATTTCCCTCAGTTCCTTGGTTGAACATGTTTGGTACCCAAAAGCTAAAGATACACTTCCGTTCAGAATATTTCCCTTTTGAACGTGTAGTTTTCAACATACACTTAAGTGAGATAAAATTTCAATAATGCTCTCAATTGCTGTTTGCAAACATTCAACTTCAACTATTTTGTGGAACACACGGTGGAGCAGACTCTTTGGCTGTGGGACTTAAATCTGATTTTGTAAAGACAATCCAAAGGATTTAGCAAATCAAATTCCAATCCTTCAGTAGGAAAGCAGATGCCAGTCACCTCGACATGGCATGGGAAGGTGGGGTGTGTATCTACCTCTTTACAGCAATGTTGGAAGGGGGTCTGGAGGGTCAGGCAGACACTGAGAAGTGAGGCAATTGATCTCCAACCAGTCCACCACAGAGCCACAGATGTCTCTCAGCACAAGGGTTTTCTTGCTCTGAACAGTTCAAGATGAAACCATTTTTCTTGTTGAAAACACCTCGACCAGTGTTAGGTCTTTGCTCTGATTTCCTCTAGCTAAACTCTTTTTAAGACAGGACGATGCCTGGATTTCAGAGGGAACTCTGGGGGAGAGCTGCATAAAGGTAGCTTTCAAACTCACTTCTCAATTACACCGCACTGCGCCTGTCCTGGCTCAGTTACAGTCGTTGGTGGAAGAGAGGTTCTCTTTAAGGGGCTTCTCGTGACCTTTCTCTTCAGTTTAACTCCCTTTCATGAAGCAGTTAGACTCTACTTACGTCTTGTCTAAATAAATACAATTTCTTAACACATTTCAAGTAATTTATGTGACTAAAACTGCATTCCCCAAGAGGGCAGAGGAGTACCGTGTTTAAGTACACACTCAGAAAGGAATAAGCTTGCACACTGGGGATGCTTTATTACCACTTTCATGTGAACAGGGCTCCAGAGGGCCACATCTCTGAACAGAGAAGGATCTCAAAGGGCCACTGATTTGATAAGTTATGGAATTTCACTTGAATCTTTCTAGGTTTTCAGTCCAAACAGTAGCCTCTAAATGGAGGAATGCACAAAGCCAGGGATTCCCTCTAATGACAGGAATGTTTAAGTACAATTAGTCATATTTTTGAAAGCCAACAACTGTTTTCCAATAGATTGGGACATTTTATTTTTTGTTTCAAGCTGGATCACAAATTACTGTATTTTTCTTACAATAGAGCTGAACTTTTATTTGAGGTTCTCTGTTTCTGAAAAGCAGACATGATGGATTGGAATAAAAGATAATTTATTGCAATGCTTACTTTCATGTGTAAAGAGACGCAGTGTAATTGTAATTTACAGTAGCTGTCAGGAAAAATCCATCACAGATGACATTAAAATGACTTATTTTGCCTGAGCCACTTATTGTTTAAATGTGCATAATCTAATAGAAAGAGATTATTTTTTAAAAATCTGCTTTGTATTGTTCTAAATTAATATTAAAACATATACTTATGAATTAAACATTAAAAAACCATTTATTGGTAGTTTCATCGTGACATCTCCAACTATGTTTAAATTATTTTGGAGTGAACTGTCACAGATTAGTGATTCATGTAGCAGCATATTCATGTTCTTCTCACACTTATGGATAATATAGAGATTATTGTAGAGCAAATGCAGTTAGAGAGTGGGTATAATAGCACCATGGCCTAGAGATCACTGGGTGTCACTCATGAAGCCAAAGGGCACAGAGAAAACTGTCTTTGTGAAATCATTTTAACTGACATTTCCTCAGAGACACCCTCCTATTCTTTAGGTTTCTGAGCAGGATTTCAAGTCCTCTTGTAGTGACCCCAAGGTTTGTGGAAGCATACAGAAGTGCAAATTGCCTGGGTGTTCTCAGTAGAGAGAGGCTATGGTGGTTGGCGACTGACTATCTTAAAGGAGACTAAGTTAAAGAAAAAATGTTTGTAAGCCTTTGGTCTATAAAGATTTCAAGTACTTTTTGGCTCAAAGGTGGATCTCATTTGTTTATTGACTCTCTAAATATCTTTCCTCAAAAAAAAAAAAAAAAAAAAAAAAAAGGCTAAACAATAGATGTGTAGAAATACTGCTTTAACACACCAGGACAAACATTTGTCAGAATCGGGGCCAGTTTCCTCGCCAGTGGCAGACATAAACTATCTAAATAATGAAATGTATTAGGATAAGAGTAAAAAGTTCATTGTCTGTTATTTTCCACATAGTTTTCTGTGTGCAGTTGTTGGGGCTGATCTGGTTTTCAAAGGAGCCTGTTCATGCAAATTCATACTCTGCCCAAACTGACCTTCGCATCCAGATAGCTAAAATCCAATGTCACTTTGAATTCCACTCTTCTTCTGCTGTTGCTTTTTTTATGTAGCTGGAATTAATGTAGTGAATATGTAATGAAATGCATTATCCTGCATGGAGATTTATCAGATTTTCCAACTGAATGCTGTGCTTTGCAAGTACTAGCTGGAGTTCACCTGCATGTTGGTGTGGCGTGTGGCTCTTTTTTGTAAAGAGTTAAGTCGTATACAAAAAGAGGGAACAAAGGTCAGCGCCCAGCCACCACTTGAATGTGAGATTTTTCTTTTTATTCCCCTTGATGTATACTAGGCTCTGTGTTATTAGTCTTAATGATGGAAAATTGTAGTGTTGATACAAATCTTTTTTTCAAAGTAGTAGGCGGGAGCTCCATTTGTTAGTAAGTTTTTTTTGTGACTAAAAGCCACGGACAGTACATTTATGTAGCAGTAAAAGGCCTGGATGCTCTTTCCATAGCAGAGCTAATTATTCCTACTGTGACCTTACTGATCTAGCCTGTTCCTAGTACATCTCATCTGCACGCCTGTTCCTCTGTGTAGATGGTGTCAGAGAATATGAAAAACCCTATAATGAAACCATTTTCATGATGGAGAAAGGCTACTGGAGTTGCACTTGCTACAAAGAGGCTCAATTATATGAGTAATTGTGATAATTTTCTACATTCATAGCCTTCAATGGGGAAAAAAGAATGAGAGCCACAAAGGAAAATTACTTTAACAAGAAAGTACAGAGAGTAAAAATGGAAGAAGAGACAAAAAGGGGAAAAAATAACCAGAAAAAAAGTTTAAAAAATAGATCTGGAGGGAGGAATAGTGGGACAAGGAGAACAACAGAAATGCTCAAAAGCCCGTGTGCAGCTGTGTTGCACAATTAAATTGAATTTTTTTTCCTGCAGTTGATGAATGTGACTACTGCAAATGTGCCTCTGTAGTTAGCTATCATTTGTTGTTCCGTGACAGGAAAAGGATAATTACCTCTCAGAGAGAATCAAAGGCTGACATGCCCTTTAGACACAGCCATGAATGCAGAGCTCCACAGAATTGCCTGAATAAGAATCCAGTGTTCTCTGCCCCCTTCTACTGAAGAATAAATTTTGTTAAAATGCAAGAGCGCCACCAGTAAATTTGTTGAACCCTAGGTGTTCAAAAATATGAGGTGCATCTATCGACTCATCCCATTTGCAAAAATAAAACTGCATTTTGAATTCATTTCTATTATATTCATGGACAGTAAGATAGTGAGATATGCATTAAATTTCTTTTCCCAGTAGGGGTCTGATTCAACATTTCCTATGAAAGAACAGAGAGACACTATCCTTTTTTCCCAGGCTAGTTAGCCTATAATTTAAAACTGTCAAAAACACAATTTTGTTCAAAGTCTTCAATAAAAGCTTCTCAGATATAACCCAAAGAGATTTTACTAAAGTTTGATTCAGACACTGTTACAATATTTTTAAAGCCATAAATACATTTAACTGATATTTTACTGCCTTTTTTCTTAAAGTATTTGAAAGGGTTCTCAGAGAGAAAGGCAGAGCCTTTTCAAGGTGACTGGGCTTTCCAGCCTTTGGACAAACGGGAGTGCTCAGAGGCCCCAGCTCATATTAATGAGAACAGCACTCTAAAGGGGTCTGGCCGAGCATCTGTAACAAAATGTGTTACTTTTAAATGAAAACACATAGTCTGCATGTCTACTCCAAAACATTTGGGGGGGGGGAATCTGAAAGTGGGAAACAGATTACAAAGAAAAGTCTTGAGTTCAGAAAATACACTTACACTTAAAAAGCAAGCACAGGAAAAACTATGAGGAAAGTAAACAATGTTTCACAGGGAAAATGAACCAGACAAAAAGGGACGCAGAGCAGCCTTGCAGGCTATTTCTTAATCTGCTAACTTAAAAAGTCAGGCTGCTTTGAGCTCACACTTCTGATCTTGGCATCACAGGAATGCTTCCCTCGCTCCTCATAAAATGGAGTTTTTATCCTTTCTCACTATCCAAGGGCTGGGACGATCAGCCACTTTCTTAGGTATCTTCTTCCACATTTGAAAAAGAAACATCACAGACCAACACGTCAAGCTAAAACAAAAGCAGCCATATTAATATTGCTCACTGCTCCAGTAAGTTTCTTTGGTGACCCTTTTTTTAAACCATTTTTTTTTTCAACCCAGGGAACAATATTACAGCCCGGCAGTTCACATACTGATATCAGGCTGACTTGATGGCTGTGAATCAAAAGACATGTCATCAGCTTTATACCAAGTCACCAATAACCTTTGTACCATTCGCCAACCCTCCTTTTACTTGTCAGTGCAAGACTTACCTGATAGTGTTTCCAATTACAGAGAAGGGGGCCCCAACTCTGCAAGCTGCAATTGCTTCATCTCTACACATCCTGGCAACCTCTACTAACTTTTTACCATATTCATCCACATTGCCCACCAAAAAGGTTTCAGACGTGTCTCCATGGTAGCCATTGTAATAGACCTAAACACAGGCACAAAATTTAAGGTATGTTCTTGTCTGGGATCCTATTCTCCTAAAGTACATATACTGTTTGTGTTTATGCATTTAATAAATTCATTACCTTCTCAGAGTTAGTCTCCAGTTCACATATTAAAGAATTAAAAAGATAGATAGACTAAAACCATTCTCCAATTTAAAAGCTAAAACCATGTGAGGAGCCTGCAAAATCTAAAAACCAACAAATGACCAGCTCGGTTACTTCAGCTTTGTGATTAATAATACTATTGTAGCATTTTGATCCCTCATTTTATTTCTGAGAAGGCAAAACTATGCTTGGAGAAATTAGTTACCAAACACACTGACCTGCAATTACCACAGTAGGTTTAGAAAATTAAGTATTTAGCATAGTAAAACATGTCCTTGGTGTCATGAGGATTTACATGCTCTTTTATTTACCAGCTCTATACTTAGAAATGATACATAATGACAAGAAGAAATAAGATAGACATGTCAGCACTATAATGGTGGGCAGGAGAATTTCATGCTAAGAATTGAAGTGGCTTGATACAGTAATGAAATATGGTGGAAAAATTCTACATCTAGAAACAACATCTGAAACAAATGTTCCAGAAAGTATGATGGTAACAGGAAACACTCATGTGGATTTTTAAAGAATTAGAACATATCAAAGCAAGCTTAGCAGTAAAATCACAGAAAGATAATTTTGTCAGTCTTTAATGACACAGGAGTTCCATGTGATCTTGAGTGACATCAGGTTCATCATGAAAAATGAATGATTGGCAAACACCAGAATACATGTAGAAGGTAGAGGAGACTAGTTGACCATTGATCCTTGGACTTAACATGGCATTTACTATTTTGCATGAATTTATCTAATTATCTTCATAGTTCTCCTTTTCCTTAGGTAGGATGCAGAGAATCTTATGACAAAAGCTATTTATTGAGGCTTTCTGTCTGAATTAATGCCATGCCCACATACTGCACACACTGGAGAAGCTAGCTCTCTTAGACAATGAGGAAATGAAAAGTCATTACAAAGATCTCTGGCTCTGAAGTCAGGAAACTGAGGCACAGACAACTTGTTTGGGTAACTGGCAGAGTACACCCCAATAAATTTGATAGATTGATGGCTTCTAATATTAAACCCTCCTAATGCCCTCATAGTTTTCTAATTTATTCCCACTTATATTCCTTTACAGAAAAATATAAGCTCTTGTCATATACAAGAATATAGAATTTGCTAATATAAGTGTAATTATTCAAGAAAATTTGCAACTACGTATTCTTAAGTAAAATTCATTTCCTTAAATTAATTTAACTTGCTGTTTCATGTTACTTTAAAGTTAAAGTATATTAAAGTTATTTATTTTGTGAGTACATGTGTGCCTGCGTGTGTGCGTGCGTGCGTGCGTGCGTGCGTGTGTGTGTGTGTGTGTGTGTGTGTGTAGAAGCCAGAGGACAACTTTCAAGAGTCGATTCTCTCCTCCTATAATGTGGGTTCCAGGGATTGGACTCAGGTTGTCAGTTTTGGCAGCGAGTGCCTTTACTTGCTGATCCATTTCATCAACCTTGTCCCAAACCATTACCTTTTCAATGATTCTTAAGCTATTTAAAGGGTTCGATACATAGGGAATACAATGTATATGTGTGTTACTGGGGACTGAACCCAGGACTTTGCATGTGTTTGGAAGGAAAAAGATACTTTTGAAAGCCTGGGGCAATCGACTACAACTACAATTTGTCCCCACAAACCATTCTCACACTTCATCTAACAGATATTAACCGAGCAACTACTATGAACACATTGTCATAAAAATTAACTTGCAAGAGAAAAAGCAACTCATTTTCTTGTGGACATAAAATGCAGTGGGTACTTCCAACAAAAATACAGGAGCTAGAAATGCAGTTCTTCAGTTAATAAAATATTTCATAAGAAATACAATTTTTTGATACTGACCAATATGTCTCTTAGACTCCTTTATATTTCTAGGCACTAGAAAGTATTTCAAGTGACTTTAAGGATTGTTGGAATAATTTAAGCTTCAGAAATGAAATTCTTTATTAAAAGCCTTATGGAAACCCAGAAAGGAATAATACGCTCTCTCTGGGCATGCTGGAAACAGCACAGGAGATGTCTCATCTCATTCAAGCAGCAATATCTTATTAGTGGGTGATTAGGTGAGGTAATAAGTGCGAAACCCTAAAATCAGGTTCAATCCGAGATAAAAATACGTCACAAGAGAGACTTCATTTGAGGTGCACTTCACAAAGCCTCCCACACAGCTCTGAGTGGGAAAGACCCTACCAGGGTGTGTGGAGTGACACTCCAGCATTCTGAGACACAATGACATGGGAAGTAGCATGAACAGGAGTTGTTTGCTTGTACCTATGCATAGGCTGAATTAAACAATTGAAAATCTAACACAATCTACTGGTGCCTATTTCCATCGTATTCCCACTGTTACCCAACTTTCAGCCTGGGTATAAAATAACTATCATTAAAAATATTTACTCTCTAATAGAGAATGTGTTTTTGAATGGCACCCATCTCCAAGAGTCCCTGCCAGATGTTCACATTTTATTTATCTAGTTATTAATTAGTCATAGACGCACAGATTTTGTTTATCCTTTGTATAATTCAAAAGGCACCATTACAATTTGAAATGAAATGTGCACAGCTAATCCAAGTTTGGGGAAGGTGAGAGGCTAAGGAAATCAGAGAAGGTTACTGTCTACAATTTGCAGTCCCTAAGTTAAATCACTTAGGCTTGTTATTTAAAAAGAAAAGCAATCAACCGTTTGGTGAAAAAAACCTAAATTCAGACAGAAAAACCATTCTGCTTGTATGCTTTGAGTTCAGGCCTCTCTACACCAGAGATGGAACACAACGTTACCTTCAGGGATTTTAATAAATCTAGGGAACACCGCTAGCAAAAGAGTTGCTGTCCAAATAGACTGACACGCAGGCCAATGTAGCCCCTAATGACAGAGTAAGATAATGACAGGCCCCACTCAAAATCAGCAGGAAGAGGAAGATCAATCTTGGCAGAGTGAAGGAAAAATGCTGGCTTTCTTCGTGTTAGCTCATCTCATACATATCTAGCTTCAGCAGCTGCCTAGTGCTATGGTGCTCTGCATTAACTACACAGTGGATCAATAACAATTACACCTTCTCAAAAACATGACACATAGCAGGATTGGGCTGACATTTCACTTAGGCCAACATTGATCTCAGTGCATCTGATTCCAGCCCGAAATCCAAGTCAGGCCTGGGTTTCCTTGGAATAAACACGAGTTAAAGACAAAAAAGGAAACCAGCTGCTTGTGCCCGGGGCTGGAAGTAAACAGCACTCCCCGAGCGCAGTTCACATTTTCAAGCCACTCTCCTTCCTGTTGCTACTAGCAATTCTGAAGTTGATCAAGGATGATTTTTTTTTATATGATTTACTCACCGTGACATCAATGTTGATAATATCTCCATCCTGAAGAGGTCGGCTGAAACGTAAACAGAGAAAAAATGGTGACAGACAGATCTCAATAAAAAGAAATGTGAAAATAAGTGCCCAGCGACTACTACTGCAAACCCAGCAATAATGTGTAGAGCTGTGGCAATAATGTGTAGTGAAGCAGGAATGGGTAACCAAATCTGATCTTTGTCTTCTGTTAATCACACCAACACATTTTATAAGAAGTAGAGGAAACAAATATTGCTGCCTTAAGATTTCATGACTCTTTAAAGAGACATACTTCCTAATTATCTTAAGTTTGTAAACAGCCAAAACAATAAACAATAGCTGTCAATAAAATTTGCCTTCATTACCATACGGTAAAAACTGAATAATAACTTAAAAGAAATAGATAATGTACAAATATTTTTGTGGCTTGCATACTATCTTACAAAACATCAACTGGTAGTGTTATATTCATGTAGAAGTAAAATACCTCAAAATTTTTATTTTACCGTAATCAATTTAGAAGCATGCATGCAGGTAGGTTTCAATTGAACTACAGTATTTTTCAATATGTGTTATGGATCTTAGTTTCAAAGGAACAATACATTATTGAAAAATGAATACCTGTCAGGAATGCCATGACAGAGCACGTTGTTTACAGAGGTACAAACAGATTTTGGAAAGCGTCCATAGCCCAGAGGCGAAGGATATGCATCGTGACTGATGATTTCCCGATGAACTAGAGCATCTATCTCTTCTGTTGTCATGTCAACCTGAAATATTAATAAAGTGTGCAGCGACAGCTGAAGACATTTCCTGTATTTATCGACTGTGTCTACAACAACAGCACTGCCAAGGTGCGACTGTATGAATTCACCAAGATGAATTTATGGTGTAACAGTAATTTTTTGTGACTCTTGCCACTGTGCTCTTCTGAGGGTATATGACAGTGTTATGTGCCACCAGGATGTAGAGTGCATCATTAAATGATGACTCCTGTTAGCCCGATGATTTCAACAATACGTCTTTCATCAATTCCTTCCTCTTCCTCAGGGGTCAGAGCTCTGGATAAAGGAAGCATACAAATAAGTGTACAAACGGAATGCTGGCTTAGAGGGGCTGGAGAGAAAGCTTCGCCCACACCTTTTTATCTTGTTGCAACAATGCATGGGTGAGCTTGGCAGCAATGGCAGGGAGGAGATGAACCATCATCTAAAACCTCCATCTCTGCCACCCTTCATAGAGATCTCATGTCCAACAAGCTCAGTTTCTTTCATGCCTAGATAAATATATTTTAATGTTTCTCATACTAGAACATACCCACTTATTTTCCAACAAAGGTAACTGAAATTGAGGGATCTTGTTTTGTTTCTGTTTTGCACTGCTGAGGCTTGAACCTGGTGCCTCGCCTATGCTAGGCAAGTGCTCTGCTGTTAGAAACTGAGTTTCATAAGCACATGATGACTATCTCCATGAAATCATACCACAAATAAAATCCTATAGCAAAGCAAGATTATTCAGTGGATGCTAACTACTCCCTCAATAACATCCTGTGTTACTTCATACGCACCTTATGCTTGGTCATGTTGCTATAACAGATTGTCTATACGGGTGGCATAATGAGTAGATTCACAATTGAGTCCCCTCTTTGAAACTACATTTATGTTTTCTTATGAACTATAGATGGCAGGATGTTTTGGGTGATTGGGTGATTCTGAAAGAACTGACTTTCATAGCAGCACACACACACGCACACACACTTACACACACAATCACACACACAATCACACATACACAATCACACACACTCACACACATAATCACACACACAACCACACACACACTCACACACACAATCACACATACACAATCACACACACTCACACATACAATCACACACAATCACACACACTCACACACACACAATCACACACACAATCACACATACACACACACTCTCACCATGTCACTGCTTTTCTGTGTTGGGCCTACTAGGGAACACTGAAGAAAAGAAGAGGCAAACTATAAGTAGGACCAAGGCTTTCAACACATGGAGGCAATGTGGGAAATATGAGTAGATACAGGCAGAGGCAAGGCAGCAAAGCCAAAGTCCTCTGCCACAGAGCACCTTGGCTAGGCTGGGTCAGCTGAGTGGCTCTAGAATTCTGGCAGCTGCAATCAAATTTAGAAATTTACATTCTTTCTTGAACACATAAAATGGTAAAATCCCCTTTTCCCCAGCTTAAGGCTTTACTTTAAAAATCAAGTTATTAACAGATGAGTGCAAAGGAGAGTTAAGGAGAAAGGGAGAGCAAGCCCGTGTGTATATAAGTCACGCTGCGGCTTGGGTAAGACGCCACCTTTAAGCTCTTCCCAGCCAAGAGGAGGATGTGCCGAGCCAGCTGACAAGCCTCACGAAGGCCTTGGATCTGATCTTCATTCTTAACTTCTATGCTGTCTCCCCAGTCGGGCACAATGCCTGTCGTCACATAGTCTGGCTTCTTTATGTGCTTGAGGGAAAAGAATTGAAAACGAAGATCAGAACCCAGCACACGACAATGGCATCATTTTTTTCGGACACAGCCTCCTGCTTCATGGAACTCTGCCCTTCCTGTTGAAGCACCGACCTCCAAAGCCAGCACAACAGACCTCCAGGCTACCCCCAGTTCCTTCCCCTGCCCTTTTGAACTTAACATCGCCTGATAGTGCTGCTCTGGATGCGCTGTTGACCTCACCAGGCTTTGAGTCGGGTTCTGCTGAAGTAGACCTCTGGTCAAAACAAACAGCAGTTTTCTATCCTTTCCTCCACCCCAGTCCATTAGAAGCATAGCCCATGGATGGAAAAGCACCAAGTTTCCAATCTGCACAATGATTCATTAAGAAACAATCTCATCTTCTTCAATCAATGATAAAATGTGTGCAAAGGTCAGCTCTCAACAAGCTCTCCCAATGAGTCCACGTGGAGGGTGTCAAGTTCATGGGCCTACCACATACACATTTTTATATTAGGTGAGCTAACAACAGCACCAGAAAAAACAAAACAGCTTACTTCCTTGGTGTCTTCTCCAAGGGCAATAAAATTGCCTAGAACATTTCCATCATTTATCAAGAAGAAATAAAGAGCCAGCTCCTAATCCAAAGCCCCCTGTGGCTGGTTCTCCGGCTCTGAAACCCACTGGTGGTTCTTGGGAGGTAACACTATCTTAGACACACAGCCTCTTTCTGCCCCAAGGTTGACAGTGCCCTTCCTGAGCCATTTATAGCAAGGGTACATAAGACCACTGACCATAACACAGTAAGGCTCACAGAAGTTTGGGCCAGGGGTCATCCTCAAAGCTCTCCAGGGCTTGGGTGGGGTGGGGTGGGGAGGGCTCTAGTGTTTGTGAAGAGGGCCAGGCCAGACTTTAGGATCTCTTGTTCCACTGTTCAGAAGGGCTTTTCTCTTTCTCTTATTTGTTTGCTTTTGAGATCGAGTCTCTCACTGAACCTGGGGCTCACAGCTAGCCAAAAGCTCCAGGGACCAACTTGTGTCCACATTGCCACTCCCCAGCACCAGAATTGCAAGCATACACCACCAGTACCAAGGGTTTTATGTGGGTGCTGGGGATCTGAGCTCAAGTTGTTACCCTTGTGTGGTAAAAGCGACTAAACCATCTCTCCAGCCCAAGGGGCTTTTGTTAGTTGGGTAATAAAATGGCCTGGTTTGTCACAGCTGAGTCCTGAAGAAGCATCTCCTCTCCTACAGTCACTCTACCAACTCCCACAGCTTACCAAGTGCTCCCCCAACAAGCCTATGTTCTTATTTCTGCTCTGTGATCTGCTTTGGTTATGGCTATAGGCTGGGGACTGCCCGTTTGTCTCTGGAACTGGCTAAAATGTATAATTCAACACATTCCTTTTATCTAGAGGTGTGTCTGTCTGTGTGTGTGTTTGTGTATCTGTGTATGTATGGCTACAACTATGCAATCAAATGGATACAAATTCACATGTGTGCAGGGGTGTGGAGACCACAGAGAATGATATCTGATATCATCCTTAGCTATTCTCTACCTTATTTTTTGAGACAGGGCCTCTCAATGAATCTGGAGCTTACTGACTTGACTAGACCAGTGTACCCTAGGAATCTTCCTGGCTCTGCCTCCTATACCTAGCTCTGGTTTGTTTTATGTGGGTGCTGGGGATGAGTGCAGGCCTTCGTGTTTACAGAGCAAGTGTTTTACTGACTGAGCCATCCCCCCAGCCCCTAGAGATTTCTCTTTGTTTTTACTGAAGAAAAATAACATCACTTTTATGACTAATACCAAATGCTGGCTCTCTCTCCGATGGCCAGACCTAAGCCAACATAAGACTTTTGGCTCTCAACCCTTGTTATAAAAATGGACTAATCACCTTTGGGAGGTATGCTCAATGTGGTTCACAATAAAGAAAAAGTGTAAAAGGAAGAGAGCAGGTGGTTTTTGTGACAAATCTGAGTTTCTTTTTAGCTGTTTTCCTTCTTCCTAAATGACCTGTTACAGCATCTTTGCATTTTCAAAGGCAAAGATATACTCTTTCCACAATACTGAAACCTCTGGAGGGGGGAATCAAGGATGCTCTGGCTTTTATTTAATTTACTCTAAAAAATGTATCAAAGACAGTAGTAGTATTAACATAGAAAGTTCAAGGGATTAAAAATATCCAGTATATTAATTTCAATGAATCTCTCTTGAATCAATCCAATTTTACACTCATTTTCCCTAAAAATAAAGTCATCAACTGTATATACACAGTTTTATTTTAATGTTTGAAATCTAACATTAAAAAAAACATGTTGACATTCCAAATAATCTAAGCAATTGTTTGGCCAGACCTTTATTTTTGTTTTAATGGACATTCTAGAACTGCAAGATGTTAAAAATAAAATGGCTCCCATCACAATCTGAAAAATCACAAACCAAGTTTTCAATTCACATCTTAAATGAATTGTACAGTCCGCCTTTGCCCGCCAGAGAGGGTGGGCGCCTGGGGCAGTACAGTACCTGGGGGACAGGATGTGCGGGAGAAACTGCAGCCGGCGAAACTATACTGTGGGAGATGTCCCTTTGTCTCCAGAAAAAGAAATTTCTTCTTTGTTGACTGCCTGACCGCCTGTGTAAGAGATGATTGAGTGGAGAAGATAAAATTCTCAGACAACCTATGAGCAGAAAGAGAGGTATTTCAGGTTAAGAGGAAAGAAAAGACATTAACAGTGTTGCCCTCGAAGGTGTTGTATCTATTAAATCATTAGTCTCATTCTTTATTGACTCAGAAAAGAAAGCCCCAGAGAGAAAGGGGCAGTAGCCGTCTGGTACAACAGTAGCACACCATATTGACTAACTAGCACTGTTAACATAAATTTCTGACAGTGGAGAGCTTTACTCTAATAGGAGATAAACATATGGAAAGATCTGCCCCGCAGCAGGTGTGGGAAAGAACAATTTCTACTTCGGTACCTTGTGTGACGATGTCCAGATAACCCTAGAATGCAGGGCACTACTTTGGTGGCTCTGTACTCTTTAAAGCCATTTTCCCTTCAAAAGCCACAGACAAATTGCCAGCTGCACTTTTGGCCTCCAGAGGATTGCAACTGTGTGTTAAGTTCTTGTGCATGAAGGCATTATACCAAAATACTTTGCGATGAATGCTCCAGTTGGACCAAATAGCAAAAATGTAGGTATAACCAATGAAAACAAACATAGGAATTTAGATATACTTATTAAAATACTAAAAGCACATCTTTTGACTCAGCAATTTATCTCTTCAGACTTTATCCCACAGATAATATGCAATGATGAATGTATGGAGCCACACCCTTACTTAGGTATTGTTTGGGCAGAAAATTGTGAAACAACCTGATTTCAAATGGGAAATAGCAACAGAGGATGGGCTGAACATATAATATGTCTATCCACACAATAGAAAATTCTGATGCCATTAAGAAGAATGAAGCTAACTATGGCAGTGTACATCCATAATCCAAGCTCTTGGGAAGCAGAGGCAGGAGAACCTAGTTCAAAGTCATCCTCACCTTCACAGTGAGTGTGAGGTTATCCTGGGCTACACAGAACTCTTTCTCAGAAGAGCAGAAGGAGAAAGAGGAGCTAAGTGGTCTCTGTGTATTGATGGGAAAAGACCATAGGACACTGTTATGGGAAAAAGCACACACTAAGCAACATACATACGAAGCCAGTCAGGCAGGGGTAGGGGGTGGACATTGTATACATGTAAGAAATTCACAAAGAATAATTTTTTAAAAATCACATTCAAAAAAGAAACCCATTAGTGTTAAACAAGCTTACACATTTATTTATATAAGCTCATACATGTCTACACATTGCCAAAACTAATATTCATCAATAGTGGGAAAATATAGTGTGTGTGATTAGGGCAGGAGGTGGGAAGACTTTGATTCATTTTATTTTCTTCTACAAACGTTAGCATTAAGAACCACCCACTTCTCAAAAAAAAAAAAAAAACCCACTTCCATTACTATTACAATAAAAGTAATCGTTTAGAAAAATCCCCCACAGGTCACAACTATATGACAAGCTGGCAAACTCCAGCCTAAGGACCAAATCTGGCCTGCTGCCTGTCTTTGTGCAGCTTAATGTCAAACAATGGGTTTTTACATTTATAAGTGGCTGAAAGGAATCAGAAGGAACTGTATCTTGTAGGGAGAAATTCAGATTTTGGTGCCCACACCTACCCTGAGCTACTAAACTGGTCACGACTGTTTCTCTGCTAAGGCAGGGCTGATCGCTGTGACAAAGACACACGGACAAAAGGCTAAAACATCTACCTCTCAGCTCTTCACAGATGCTGCCGACTTCACAACTATTCTCACCGTGAGGCTCCCAAGCCAGCATCAGTCACATGGGAAAAGAGACTGGGGGTGGGGGCTCCTCCAGGGAGTGAGAGGAGAGGCCCTAGAGTCGCTCTACCATGAAAACTGATGGAGGACTGACCCCCAAGGTCAGCGCTCCTCATGAACTGGGAAAAGGCATGAGATTCAACACCAAAGTTTCACTCGGTTATGTTTTTCTATCAGCTTGAACTCAGTACTGTTATATCAGACGCATGAAGGAATTTTGGGTAATATGTGTACTACTGTATGACATGTATAATATTAACTAGCACATATTAACATGTTATTTATGTTTATACTTATCTGCACCGCTGGGGCCCTAACCCAGGGCCTTGTACATGGCTGGTTACACCCTCACAGAATGACATCCCCAGCCCTACAGGGCCCTAGTATTATTTGAGACAATTCCAAATACAGGACAAAAGGCCAGAAAACCATTTCTTTCTTTCTTTGATGGTCTGCTGTTTTGTTTTGTTTTGTTTTGTTTGTTTTTTGAAAAGGGATTTTTGTCTGTTAACCAGGATGGTCCTGAACTTCACGGCTCAATGTTTTTTTCTGTCTCGGTCTTCTGAGAAGTTGAGAGAGTATTCCCAAACCACCACACTCAGCTCAAAAAGGGCTTGACGCAGACAGGTACAGTTTTCCTAGTTTTTAAAGTATATTTTTCTAATTAGGAGATGGGGTGATAGCCTAGTAGGTGAACATGAAACCCTGAGTTTGACTCCCAAAAGCAACATAAAAAGTCATATGTAAGCCAGGCAGTGGTAGTGCACACCTTTAATTCCAGCATTTGGGAGGCAGAGGCAGGTGGATCTCTCTGAGTTCAAATCCAGCCTGGTCTACAAAATGAGATCCAGGACAGCCAGGGCCATACAGAGAAATACTGTTTCGATCCCCACAAAAGTCCTGTGTAGAACTGAATAGATGTTATCTCATAACTGAGGAGAGAATGGACTTCTGGGGCTCTCTAGCAGCTAGCCTGCCAACTTGGTAAGCTTTAGGCTAGTAGGAGACCCTAACTCAAAAAGGGGTGGGAGACACGGTAAATGAGGAACAATAATAAATTGTCTTCCAGCCTCCACTCACACCCACACATATAACCACACACAGATATTTCCCAAATGATGATACCTCCAGCCCTGGGGTTGTTAGGTGAGAGTTATGGGATTTTGGGGTTTTGCAGTCCTGGGGTTTGAACCCAGGGCCTTGTACCTGCCAGGGTTCTACCACTGAGCTAAATGCCCAGGTTCAGCCTTAAGATTGCCAGTTGAAGTTGGGCATGGTGATTCACACCTTTAATCCCAGCACTCTGGAGGCAGAGGCAGAGGCAGGCGGCAGATCCTTGAGTGAGAGGCCAGCCTGGTCTACAGAGTGAGTTCCAGGTCAGCCAGGGCTACACAGAGAAACCTTGTCTGTCTTAGTTGGAGTTTCTATGTGAAGAGATATAGGACTACAGTAATTCTTTCTCTTTTTTGTTTAATTTAACTTTTTTATTGATTCTTTGGGAGTTTCACACAATTCCCACTCATCTCCCAGTCCCCTCACATCCTCCCCTCACCCCTGCAGTGACCACCTCACCAAAGGAAACAAAACACAGCAAGCAAGCAAACAAACAAATGCAAGAACAAAACAAACAAACAAACAAAACCTCCTCCCAAAACAATGAAAACAAAAACAAAAAACCTCTTTGCTCCTCCTTCTTTTCTGCCTCTTCAATACCTCTTCATTTGTCCTGGTGGTATTGGAGGCCTCGGTGCTATCAGCTTTTGTGCTATCAGCTTTACTAGCAAATGTTCATTGCAGTGAATCTGGTCTGGTTCAAAGCCTCCGGTTTCTGGTACATCATCCTCACTGGATCCTCACCAGAACTTCTCTGGGATATCCTGTGGCCTCCCCTGTAGGCTCAGGTCAGTCCAGGCCACTGGGGCCATCCACCTCAGCTCACTCCTGAGGGCTCTCCATTCCCTGAGGGTTGGTTCACCCTTACCATTTCTCCAGAGTGCAGGGGCTGGCTCTCTTGCTGCAGTGTCCAGCAAGAGGCAAGGCTAGCTTTCCCAGTACCAGAGAAGGAAGCATGGTGACTCTTACAAAGGAAAACATTTAATTGGGGTGGCTGGCTTACAGTTCAGTGGTTTAGTTCATTATCGTCATAGTGGGACATGGTGGCACACAGGCAGACATGGAGCTGGAGCAAAGAGTCCTGTATCTTGCAGGCAACAAGAGGTAGTCTGAGTGTCACACTGAGGGAAGCTTGAGCAAAAGATACCTCAAAGCCCACCCCCACAGTGACACACTTTCTCCAACAGGGCCACACCTACTTCAACAAGCGCACACCTCCTAATAGTGCCACTGCCTTTGGGTACCATTTTCTTTCAAACTACCATACTGTCTCAAACAAACAAACAAACAACAACAACAACAGAGATTACCAACTGATATCCGAGGGGTCGAGTGTCCTAGGGAAAGTAGGAGGTTAGAACTCAGAAGCTTGGAAATCTATCTCAACTCTACTACTTGCTGGCTCTATGTTCCTGAATGTGTTTCTTCTCTAGAGTCTCAGTGAGAATTAAATGGAATAAGGGATGTGAAGTATACTGCATTTAGCAGATACCCAATAAAAACAGCTTCTTCAAGGACATTTGAAAATTAAAATGTGAAATAAAATTTAAGCATCACTAAACAGCTTTTAATATTCCACACTTTTTATGTCACTTACTGAACAGGGTACTTTACACATTCTAGCTCATTGTTCTTCATAAAAGTCCCATGAGTTCAGAACTGTACCATATTCATTTTAATTTAAAAATTCCTTTTCAACGTTTATGTATATGAATGCTTTGCTTGAATCATATGGTACAGCACCTGCAGAAGCCAAAAGAGATTTTTGGATCCCTAGAAATTGGAGTTATAGATGGTTGTGGGCTGGGAATTGAGCCCAGATCTTCTGAAAGAGCAGCCAATACTTTTTAACTGTTGAGCCATCTTTCCAGCTCCCTGTTACTATATTTTATAGCAGAAAACACCAAGTATAGAGAGGGCTATGCAGTAATACCAAAGCTGAGGAAAAGCTCCCAAAGGGCATCCATCACCTCTCTCTGAGGCATTTCACTAAAATTAGCTAATACATGGAAACATCCAGAAAACAGAGAGGTAACACAGAATTTTTGTTCTGTATTTCCAAAATGTGTCACTGGGATGACCAAACCCTTCTCTCTGACCACACAAGCTTCAGTGAGGTGGTTGGGCAGTCTGTCATATGGAATGGAAAAGTTGGAGACTCGGGGAACCAGTCTATGACTC